TGTGTGTGTGTGTGTGTAGCAGGTAGGGTGTATGTGTGTGTGTATGTATGTAGTAATAGTAGGTGTAGTAGAAGTAGCTGTAACTACTTCCATTCAGACCTTCAGGTGGAAACATGAGACAGGGTCCCAGGACACTGCCTCTTGCTTTCCAAGGGAAGCTGTGGTTGCAAAGCCTTTCACAGGGCTCCAGCAATTACCCTGAAAAAAATATCTAAACCATCTTGGCCTTAAGAAGCAACCGGGCTGGGTACTGCAGATTAGTAACCATTCCCACACTTCCCAGGTCAAATGCAAATCCCCGATTCTATCAGCAATTTCCCTTCCAGGCTGGACTTGTGGGAATTGTTTATGGTTAAGCTGTTTATGGACAATTAACCACAGTATATAAAACTGGTCCCTCCACTTCAGGGGAAAGTTCCAGGTGCAGATAGGAGGAGGCCTGCATTCCTCCCACGCTGGTTTCTTTTACCTCTAAAGAAAGCTATCTCAGAGCAGTAGTGAATCCTGACAGGCAGGCTGCAGGGCTGCCACAGTACTCTGCCCAGGCCTAGCTGACCATGGAAGACATTTAGTTTCCACACCATCATTAGTGAAGAAAGACACTAGGTGCCTTTCTTGACTACTCTCCACCTTCTTATTTCAGTCAGAGACAGGGTCTCTGAACCAGGGCCTCACTAAACGGCTTGAATGGCCATTGAGCTCCAGATATCAGCCTGTCTCTGGTGGCCCCCCCAACCCCACCCCAGTAATACTTCTTGTGCCGGGTGTCTGAACTCAGGTAATCATACTTGAGTAACGTCTCCCCAGTCACCACGAAAGTTTCAAAGAAGTTGTATTTTCTGTGATAGATTTGATTTCACGTTGAAAGATAAAGAGATCCAACATGGGCAAATCATGATAACAAACATGTAAAGTCTCTCTATCATTCCACAAAAAGGAAATTCTATCACATGCTACATACAGCACTGAACCTTAAGGATATAATGTTAAGCAAAATAAGCCAGTCACAAAGGGGACAAGTACTATGTAATTCCACATAGATGAAGCATCTGGAACAGACCAATTGAAAGACAGAAATAGAAAGGGTGGCTGCGGGGCCTGTGGGCAGGGATGGGTGTGCTGTACTATAGTCTGATATGGCTTACTACCTAAGGCTCCAGGTTAGAAGCTTAGTCCCACAGTGGCAGTGCTGGGAGGGGGTGAAATGAGGCAGGCAGGGATGAGGGCCTGATGAAGAGGGACGAGCATGATGGGAATGTTTTAGGTCAACTGGGCTTGGCCTTCGGGGCACTGAGGGACCCCAGCTACACTCCACTTCTTGTTGGACTGTGTTCTTACTCTTTCCTTCATAACCTTGGGCTAACTGTGACCAACAGAAGGCATTTTGAGAAGGCAGTTAATCTGTATGGAACATTTTGTTCATTCAGGTATTTTGTTACATTAAGGAAAGACGAACTAACACGAACAGGTAGAGAGCTTTGGTTTTGTAAGATTAAACCAATTCCCAAGGTAGCTCATAGACGTGGGTATAAACATCTGAATATACTGAATGCTGCTGAACTGTATACTTGAAACAGTAAAGACAGTAAATAGTACATTATCATATTTTGCCACAATACAATTGGGGAAAAGATGAGGGATAAGGTTAAGAACTCTAGCTACCTCATCACCCAGATCGATGCTAATTTGAAATGCTCCCCCAAAGCATGTTCCTGTTAACTCTGTTTCCAAGCCAAATTCAAATTCTTATTTCTGTGAGTATCCTGTTAGGGTCTTCAAGGCTTAGGAGCTTTTGTTAGGATCTGTCTCAGACTGACAGCACCTACCATAGCTCACGCTTGGCTCTACCATGGGTCTACCCTTGGTTGCTCTGCAGCAGCTTGAGGAGGCCATTGCTGGTGATGTTACCTGGATGGGTAGCCCGCAGCGCTGATCCGAATGGTCTCCAGCACGCCGCAGGCTCGGAGTTGCTGCACAGCTCTCTTTGGGTCGAAGCTGCCAAGTTAAAAAAACATCATGAAGGGATGCTTGGAGGTAAGAGGACAAGAGAGGATGAGAGGAAAGCACCCCTCTCCTGCAGCGTATAAGACACCTGCTGCCACCAAGCTGCAGATGACCACACACTAGGTCAGGGAAAAGCACAGACAGAAGGGCGGAAGAGCCATTTCAGAAGCTGCAGGTCTGGAGACTGTGCACGTTCTTAACCTTACTCTTTCCTTTGCCCACTTGCTACCCGAGTTCTGCCCACCTTCCCAGCCTCATTCCTGTCTATTCTCCAGGGCTTGCGCTGAGCAATTCCTTCCACACAGACTTTCCAATGGCCTGTGTGTGATGGAAGGAGAGCAGAGGAGGGAACAGTGCTCAGTGGCGGCATACCACAAGACATGCTGGAAGATCCACAGCGAAGATGCTGTAGGGAAATCCCAGGCAAAGCTAGCAGGAGATTAGCATGATCAGAAGCCCTATTAGGTACCAAATTGACCCAGAATTAGACACTTTTCGAATCTGTTGAGACTACTGTCCCACTCAGAGACATGTGGAGGGATGCACATGCCCTTTCTTTCTGACTCAACTGAAGCCAGTAGCTATGCTTCTTTTGTTCCTTGCATTCTAGAGATAAAAAACCAAGTCCGAGGACCCATGAGGCTCACAGTCAGGGATCTTGGAGAACGTGGTGGTTTTGGCAGAAACTGATGAGGCTGTAGGCAGCTGCCTTGCCCTGGAAGATGAAGAGTGGTGGGAACTACCTCAGCTTGAGGACCTGCATGAGCACACAGGACAAACCCCTGGTATGCCCTGCATCACTCTCCCTGACAATCCAGGAGTGCTTTTATGGCTGCGCAACCCACCTGGATTCTGAACTCCGATGATGGAGTCAGCCTAGAGATGGCCGTGCTCAGCTAGTCTCTCTGTGAGATAGACTTTCTACTCTTGTGTGACCTGCCCTAGGCCTTCCCACTTCACTTTCTCATACTGTTTACCACACAAGCCTCCCTCAAGAGTCACCAAACCATAGCATCTGACAAATGGTACCGGGCTTGCTTACCTTCACCATGCATTTCCCAGGGAATGGTCACTATAAGCTATTACAGTGTGCAGGTATGCTCTGACTCCATGTAGACTCTAGGTGTGAGGCTCCCCACACACTCCTTTAGGCCAGCTCTTGTTTCTATCTCCTCCTTCCCTCATACTGCTTGCAGCACCCCTATTTTCTGCTGTACCCCAAACCTGGCTTCTCCAAATTCTCTTCCTGCTCACTCTAGCTCTAAATGAGAGGGCCTCAGGTCACTAATGATATTCTGTGCATAATATACAATGCAGCGTTGACTTTTACATGGCCTTGATCAGAACGGTTACTTGATAACTTAATTCCCTCTTGTAAGGACCGAAGCTCTGCAGTAAGAGGCTTAGGAGACAAAGACAACATGGAGCCCCTCGCTGGAACCCTTTCCCTGCCACCAGGGCTGATTTTGTCCTCTTTGATATGAAGCAAGTTCTGGGATGCTGGGTGGTCATCCTTGACTGGTCCCACAAGAAGCCTCCAAGGATTTAATGGCCACTCAGGGTCCTGGGAAGGCCTTTGGAGTACAGGCTCTGCTTCTCTTACCTGTAAGTCGGTCAGTAGGAATGGATACTCCTGAGTTTTCAGAAAGCGTTAGAGAAATGTGGGACTTTTGTCCCAGGGCGCCTCTGTATCCAACCACGACAACCATGGCTACTCTCTAGAACTCACAGACGTCTGCTTGCCTCTGCCTCTCAAGTGCTAGGCTCAATGGTGTGAGTGTCTACACCCAGCCCCGCATTTCTTTTTACAAAGAGCCATTCCTTTTCTTAGCAGATCATATCTTTAGCACTCCTGCCTCATCTTGTAGCAAGTCTTTCGACAACTATGCACCCCAGCTCTGGGACTGGTCAGCATGGTGGCCCAGAGCTTGCTGAGTGAGTGTCCCAAGGCAGCATCATGGAATGCTGGGAGAACAGGCTGTAGGTGGGGGAAGTCTTCTCTTGGGCTGTACACACAATGCCTGGAGCTGGTCCCATCAGAAAATAATTCTTGAGCCTTCTTGGCTCAGGCCGGCCTAGAATTCAAGATCCTCCTACCTTATGTACCGTTACACGGCCTGAGACAGCCGATTCCTCGCTTAGCCGTACCCTCTCCTTTTGTGAATGAATTCAGCACTACATACCCTTCTTGCTTTGTCCCAGACCAATCAGCAGCAGCATCCTGCCTGTGGTCCCCGTGTGGAGGAGAAAGGATGTGGCTGGGCCCCAGGTCCCCACTAACAGCTGGGAGCTCGTCAGGCAAGCTATGACCTCTTGCTCCATTCCCCTCCCCAGCTTTTAGTGGGTGTGGAGAACATCTGCCCAACACACAACTACGATGATCACAGATGGAAAAGGACTTTCAAGAGAAAAACACAAAGACTGGACAAAGAAGATACAGTGTCCTCTCTCCTTGTCCAGGGAACTGGGAAGCCCAGATGGTTCAGTGTTCTAATCTTACCTCTGTGCCAGCAGAGACTCCATGGGCCTCACTATGAAGTGATAAGGAATGAAAACCAGACTTCTAGTGAAACCAGGCTTAGATGTGAAAGACAACACATGACTGGATATTAAAAAAACCTACGAGGTATAAGTTTAAGCTCCTGAAAGCCAGATTTACACTTTCCTGTTCCCAACAGTGCAGGGCCAGCAGAGCCTGGAGCTGTTGGCTGCAGAGGGAGGAGCCCACAGCTGCAACACCTGGCTATGCTTCTCCAGTGGCTCCACTCACCTCTCCCTCATCCTTGCATACCTCTGAGCTTCCTCAGGCTCCACAACATCTCTACTGTCAGCAAAAGACCCTGAGACCAATCAGTCAGCTAGCCTCACCTCTGCCAAGGAAGACCAGATTGACACTCACCCCGCCACTTCCTCCCAGGGAGAGGAGGTTCACTTCATCACTTTCTTGCCTGTCTCCACAGTATTTTCCCAAGTAAATTCTCTTATTCTACTTAGTGGGGTACAAGGGACTGACCACAGGCCATCAGGCTTGGGGCATGTGGTTTTACTAACTGAGACATCGTGACATCCCTATGCCCATAATATTTCCATAGAACTGTTGATGGTCACTTTTGTGACAGTGTCATTTATATGTGACATACAGCTCCTTAAGCAAGGCCAGAGGGTCGTGGCATATCTTAATGCTGCCCCACCTATCATAGACAAGTGTCTAATAAAGAAGAAATAATACAGATGTTTCTTGACTAAAGGTAAAGAGAAAATACTTTTATATGAGAAGTGCTATAAAAAGTATATAAGACAAGGGCTCTTTATGAGGCTATTCTGCCCCCTAGGGAACACTTAAAAATGTGGGTTGTCACAATGATGGAGATGCTATTAGCATGTGACAAATAGAGGCCAGTGATGCTTCTAACTATGCTATAATGTACATGACAATCTTATATAACAAAATACTACCTGACCCACATGTGAATAGTACTAAGGATGAGACAGAGGCTAGAAGTAGAAACAGGAGGAGGGATGTAACATAGCAATAGTTTATGTCAACATATACAGTTATAAACATGAATAGTTGTATGTGCATAAATATATGTATTGTGCATGCAGAGGCCAGAAAATCAACCTTGCTGTTTAGCCTGGGGGACAAGACAGCACCCAGGTCCTGGGAGAATCGAGGTAGCACTTGTTCCCTGTTCCACTCCAGTCAATTGTGGCCCTGGGGGTTCATTCATCAGAGGCTGGTACTCAGCAGATATCAGGGATTCTGCAAGGCCTAGCATCCCCTGCCCCCGAGAGACACACACACACACACACACACACACACACAGAGTTGAGGGTGAAGGGAGTAGGATTAAAAAGGGGGAAAGAGAAAGAATGGGAATAAGATGGAATAAGAGAGGCAGACCAAGAGAGAGCCCGAGACCATGAGAGAGCCCAAGACCATGAGAGAGCCCAAATGTAGCCAGAATCAGAGTTAGTTGGTTCCAAGCTAATCCTTCACTTTCTTTGTTGGGTTAATTACCATTTTACAAGCCCCAAGCCAGCTGAAAGACTCTACCTTAAAAGACCGTGTGGTAGTACTTGAGGAATGATAACCAAGATTGATTTTCTGGCCTCCATATATATATGTATATGTATGTATATGTGTATGTGTATGTGTATGTGTATGTATATATATGCATATATGTATGTATATATGTATGCATATATGTATATATGTATATATGTATATATATGCACATACAACTATTCATATTTATCACTGTATATGTTGACATAAACTATTGATTTGCTACATCCCTCCTCCCACTCCTACTCCAGCCTCTTGTCTCATCCTTAGCTCTATTCACACGTCAGCAGATGCAGTACAGACGATTATATGTCTCAGAAGAGTGGAGGAAGGAAGGTGAGTAAGCAAGCAGTGTGCTTAGAGAAGGCTGTGTTCAGCCACAGCCCACTTTAGAAGTGACTGACAGGCCAGTATATGACTCTGCAGAGTCCAGCAGTCTGAGCCCTCCCCGTCCCTGCTGATTCCTGAGGCTGGATAAGGAGGCTGGTGTGGCTCCACCCAGATGGCACTTACTGGAAGGGGAGCTTTTCATCATTGGGCTTGATGCATCGAACATAGTGTGGCGTTGTGGCATTCAGGGTCTCCATAAGCAGGTTTAGGGAAGTGCGGAACTGCAGGGGGAAAGCCAGACCTCAGTTATTTTTAATATTCTGTTGAATGCACAGTGAAGAAACTTTAACACACTGGTGACTGCTTGTGGTGACATCAGAAATCACTGCTATTACTATGGTTAACTCAGAAAGATGGGGACAGAAAGACATTCAGTGACCAGGGTTAGATTCTAGATGACATCCCTAACTTGTTATGAAGAAATAGTAGGGCTCTTCCATAGTTGGGGTCTTCAAAGTAAACAGGGAAAGGCTACTCCATAGTATGCCTAACTCCCATTGTTAGAATCAATGAGGTGAACTGTGAGTGCTAAGAGATGAGAGATCGACCTGCTGTGTGCTAGCGGCCTGATAGCCCCGAACGTGGGGAACACAGCTGTAACGTCTGCACCTAAACATCTCAGAAACGATGAAGTTTGTATGAAATGTCCCAAATTAGCAAATCCACAGGAAGTAAAGCAGATGGGACTACAAGATCCTTCTCCTTGGTGGCATACTGGAGACCAAGCACTTTAGTTAGATGTTCCCTGGGCTTATTTAACCTTCCTCCCCCCGCACCATCCTAACACCTTCACTGGGGCCCTGTATTTAACCTCGTCTTTTGTAAAGTCCCCTCCAAGCCAGCCCTGCTGCACATGCCACAGGCCTGAGACTAGGACTGACCTGGTAGCCCACGGATTTCTTGTGCTCCTTGTTGGGGACCTTCATGAGGGGTCTGGAAGAGCGAATGTTGATCTTTGAGGATGATCGACTCTTAGCTGTGTTGGTGGCAGGAACAGAGTCCTTGTCATCATGGAACAAATCAGCCACTAGTGGGAACTAGACAGAATCACAGCAAGAAAGGTATAAAGGGTAATATCTCTTAGAGTTTAATGTTGTTAATATTCTTCAAAAACAGAATATTTCTGAGAAATGAAAATACACATCCACACAAAACTTTGTGTTCTCATGTTCATAGCATCATTATTCATAAAGGCTATAAAGTAATTAGACTCAAGTGACATCATGTGATGGATAAAGAGTGGTATATAGGTATGATGGAATATTATTAAACAATATAAAGGGACAGAGTCCTCACATGCTAACATAGCACAGACGAGTGTTGAAAACACTATAGTAAGTGGTAAAACCCACATATGAAAGAACACAGAGCATGGGAGTCTGTTTAGCTGACGTGAACCGTCTAGACAACAGAGAGCACCCTATGGCTGTCCAGGAGGGACAGTAATGTCAGCTAAGTTGTGCGGTTTTTCAATTTTGAAGAATGATAATATTCTCGAGCGTGTAGCATGGTTGCACAACTTGGTTATCTCACTAAAAAGCCCAAGTTTAACACTTCAAAGGGTGGGCATTGTGGCATGGGGTGAGTGATACTCCAGTGTTTAAAAGTCCAGCAGGGTGATTAAGTGTTCCTCTACAAAGGCAGGCATGGTTTCAGTTCCTCGGGGTGTACTAGGAGGCAGAGATAGACAGTCACAGAACTACATCTACAGCTGATTGCTTTCTAACACTTACTTGGGATCTTGTAAGATTATCTGACTCCCTTGAGTCCTGGGTTTTCCATTAGTACAGTGGGGTAAGACTGCATCTAGTATCCAAGATTGACATAAGGACTCTGTTAGTGGTCTCTGTGTTAGTGTGACAGGGTGCTAATGACACGGAGAGTTTGTCCATCAAGACTCTCGGTCTGATGAGGACACATCTGCCCTCATTCCCTGAGCAAATCAGTGCTGGACTAGCACTATGAGGTCTCTGACACGCCCCTGACAGCGCAGAGGAAAATGAGTCTGGATGGCTCCTTTGTCAACCTTGGCACACTGAATTTCAATAGAAAAAAACACTAAAGGAGGGTGTGTGCCTCAGACTCTAGGTTCCTCTGATCCATTCTGCACTCTCTTCCTTCAGACCTCACGTACATGCATGAGTCTCCTCCTCTACCATATCTGGACGCCCCAGGCAAACATGTCTGATCCTATCCCTTTCCATACATGTGGTACAGCCATTGAGTTGTTCTCCTGGCTCTTCCTGATGTTAAGCATCACATTTCTATTCCACCTTTGCTTATCTTACTTCAAATACCCCACCCTTCAATTCCTCTACATGTCTTAAAGCCTGTCTTTTTAGGACCAGCCCCGAGTCCTGTGTACTCTTTCCCAACATGTTATACCCACTCCTAATCTACATCCCATGGATCCAGTTTATAGCACATCTTGGCCTGTGATGGGCCTAGAGCCCAGTTTTTGCTAAGCCCACTGTGTCCTCCCTGCTCCCAACACAGAGATAAAGGTGATATGATATTTCCCATGTAACCACACAGAAGATGCCTACCACGGAGACATTGTCTAAGTATATTATTCAGTTACACACGCAAAACCAGCAAAAACTGTGAAATGCAGGTAGATATATCATGTTTCATGTCACGCCTGGGTTCTAGAAAGGAGAATACAAACATAGAAGAGGCTGTTCAGGAAAAGGAAGGGAAAGGGAGGAAGGGGATAAGTGAGAATAATTGGAGCAAACATAAACAGAGATTATTATACATGTACATGAAAGGTTACAATGAAACCCATTATTTCATAGAATTCATATCCTCATGACAAAGGGATGTAACAAAAGTTCAGATGTTTAGTGTGATAATCAATCTTGATAGTGAATGTGAATTGGATACACTTTCAAGTTTAATACATCATCTTCTAGGTATGCAAAGATACCCAACACATATGGGTAACGGAGAGGAGATGAGCCCCCGCCCCTGATTGTAGGCAGCACCATCCCCTAGGCTGGGTCTGGATGGAATAAAAGGGAAGAAGGAAGAAGTTAATCTCATTCCACCATGATAGACTAACACCTCAAAACCAGGAGCCAAAATAAAGTTTTCCTGCCCTCAGTTATCTTGTTCAGTGTTTTGTCTCAGCCATGACGACTTGACTAATGCACCAAGGAGTCATTTTTCTTTTTATATACAGCAGCACGGAATCTTATATCTGTCATTAACCATATGAGTCAATGGAAATCCATAAAGAGAGGACCTACCAGACCTTTGTTCCCACCCCCATGAAACACAGTAGCTGGCATAAGCCCTCTTAGGGCTACCAGGCAAAGGCTGAGCCCATGCTAGAGTCTTGGTCCCTGAATGCACAAGCAGAGCTTGCGTCCTTAATGCTATTGTAATCTGAATTAAACATTATAGAGGGCACCAGTGAGAACAGTCCTCCCACTAGTAACATCCCCTGAACTCAAAGAGGGAAACTTAGGAGAAGAGGGCAAGGCCTGTTCTACAGCAGTGTCTTTGCATCAGGCTACAGGTCCTACATGGCAGTGACAGCAGCTCATGCTCTGATAACATTCTGCAACCCATGTCCCAGACCTTCCAGGACTGCAGTCTCAGGCTAGCAAGTATTCATTAGGCACTTAGAGGACATAAGTAGGCTGTCATGTCAATAGCTGAGGAAGTGACAATTTAACAGCACACTCCATTAGTACGTTACATGTATGTGTTGTGTTTACAGAGTCTGCATTCATTTCTCTTCCTGTTGCTATGATAAAGTATCCTGACACAGCAACTCCACAAGAGAAACATTCCTCCAGGCTCACAGCTTAAGGGATTAGTTCTTCATGGTGGGGAAGTCACCATCAGAGGCAGGGCTTGAGGTAGGTGGGCATGTTACATTTACAGTCAAGAGGCTACTCAGGTAGAATTATTCTTTTTATTCAGTCCAGGATCCAAACCTAGTGAGCATGGGTCTCTCCACCTCAATGAACCAAATCTCCATGGGCATTCCTTGCCAGCATGTCCAGAGGCTAACTTAATCAAGATCATCACTTGCCAGCATGCCCAAGAGCTTGTCTGTTTGGTAATTCTAGATCCTGTCAAGTTGAGAATCAATATTAACCACAACACAGTCCTAGAAACCTGTGGGGATTAGACAACATCTCTAGACTTTCCATTGCAATCTGCAAGAGGCCCTATATCATCTCAACTCCTGGTTATCACAGACACCTGACAATACAGCCATAATGTGACACCTCAACGTGAGTAGGTGGAAATGGCACACTAGAGCTGTCCTCTGAACTTGGGTGTGGGAATCAGGTGATATAGGTCAGTCAGAAGTGGCTCAGCCCTGATAGGTAACCATGCTGAGTGGTGGAAGCATACAACACAAGTCATTGACCATCCCATCCCCTGAGGGCTTCTTGCGACTCAACCATACTCAGAGTCACATAAGATGACTGGGCGGAAGCTGGTGTATGTCCACTACACGGGGGGAATCATACACTGCTCAGCAAGCATGCCCTAATCCAGTGCGATGACCTCTGGTGTTCGCTGCATAGTAATGAAATGGTGGTAAGTTCTAAAGAGTAAAGTACTGATTTTCACCAGTCATTGGCCTGGTCATATGCACGAACTTCTGAGAGGATCACCACAGGTGTACCCACCCACAAATACAAGATTGTGATAACTGATGTTTTAAACCAGTACCCAAAGCTTTTCTCTTATACCAAAGACTTTAAGCTAAAACAAAGAATATAAACAACTACTTTAGCCTGAGGTATTATAAGTTCACATTTTAAAGTCTAGAGTCAAGAGTACTCTAAACACATATAAGTGTTTTATACTGCATGGCAGCCAGCAACTCTAGGTTATAAGTAACAAAACTGCATTCTCTCTCTCTCTCTCTCTCTCTCTCTCTCTCTCTCTCTCTCTCTCTGTCTGTTAGAATCAACATGCCTGCTTGTTCTTTCCTTACACCCTTCATTTCTCATAGAACCAGCCATGAGAAGCACCTTAACTTTCAGGGTTTTGGCATAGGGGTTTACATACCAATTAACTTTAGAGTTCACTAGCCTAGGAAGTCTAAATACACTTTCCAATCTGGCCTGGGGTTAGATATCGAGTTTGTGTAGCACACAGGAGACCCTGGGTTTGATCACCAGCATAACAAAAGATAAAATGAATAAATATATAAACCAATAATGTAAAATCAAAGATCTTGTCTTGTGAGTAGTTCAAGAACAGTCTTCTGGCTGCTTCATGGCTGTGTGACAATAAACACTAGAGAATGATCAAATTCATGAGCAAAACACTCCAAATCCTGGACCAGGGCCTGGAAGGGTAATCTTATCTAAAATATGCTGATCTGAATATTTACAAAATAGGAAATAAGGAGACCCCAGTCCCTACTAAGGATACTGAGGACAGTATTGTCAAGCAGTTGGCTTTTATGGTCCTCTGGTGACATAATTATAGTGGTTCTAAGTTTTAACTGCCAGAAGATGGCAATTCTGTCTCTTTGTAGTGAATTCTCTTCATGTATGGCATCTCAAAATGATAAATATGATTTTTCTTTTTTAGAGGAGAAAGGACCTAGCTGACTGGGAAATATATTTGAATGTCAGTATCATAGTGGTGTTTCTTTTCCTAGGCATTCAATTCTGTATGATACCATAGAAATGAAACCAATCCCTCCTGATCCCAGATATCCAACTGGTGTTGTGCTAGGGGCCGGTAATACAATAGCAAACCAGAAACACAGAAACAGAAACACACTGAGGAGTGCATGGTCTGTCAAGGAAGGCAAAGACTTATCAATTACCCACAGGATTGAAAGACTTATGACAAGAAGATGTCCTAAGGAATCGAGAAAGCAACAAAGCTGACTAAATCAGAGCTCTGGGGTGAGGACGTCAGGAAGGGATTCTCTCAGGGAGTGTTCTAGTTTGCTTTCTGTTGCTGTGATAAACATGATCAGAAGCAGTTCTAGGGGAGAGGGTTTGATAGAGCTTGTGGGTTCCAGTCTGTCATCAGGGAAGCCAGGGCA